ATCATCATCATCATCATCATCATCATCATCATCCTCCTCGTCGTCGTCGTCGTCGTCGTCGTCGTCATCGTCATCATCATCATCATCATCATCATCATCATCATCATCATCATCATCATCATCATCATCATCATCATCATCATCACCACCCATTTCAGCATCATCATCGTCATCATCATCATCACCCGTTTCAGCCACCCCTCACACGCTTCGTGGCCCTATAGGGAGCTCCACCGTAGGTCCCAGCGGGTCCGCCCGCATGCGTCACGCACCACCCAGTACAGCGTTTCGTGGCCCCATAGGGAGCTCCACCGACGGCCCCAGTGGGACCGCCCGCATGCGTCACACACCACCCAGTACAGCGTTTCGTGGCCCCATATGAGCTCCACCGAAGGTCCCAGTGGGACCGCCCGCATGCGTCACGCACCACCCAGTACAGCGCTTCGTGCCCCCATAGGGCGCTCCACCGTAGGTCCCAGTGGGACCGCCCGCATGAGTCACGCACCACCCAGTACAGCGTTTCGTGGCCCTATAGGGAGCTCCACCGAAGGTCCCAGCGGGTCCGCCCGCATGCGTCACGCACCACCCAGTACAGCGCTTCGTGGCCCCAGAAGGAACTCCACCGACGGCCCCAGTGGGACCGCCCGCATGATTCACGCACCACCCAGTACAGCGTCTCGTGGCCCTATACGGAGCTCCACCGAAGGTCCCAGTGCCAGTGGCACCGCCCGCATGCGTCACGCACCACCCAGTACAGCGCTTCGTGGCCCCATCGGGAGCTCCACAGACGGCCCCAGTGGCACCGCCCGCATGCTTCACGCACCACCCAGTACAGCGTTTTGTGGCCCCATAGGGAGCTCCACCGAAGGTCCCAGTGGGACCGCCCGCATGCGTCACGCACCACCCAGTACAGCGTTTCGTGGCCCCATCGGGAGCTCTACCGACGGCCCCAGTGGGACCGCCCGCATGCGTCACGCACCACACAGTACAGCGTTTAGTGGCCCAATGAGGAGCTCCACCGAAGGTCCCAGTTGGACCGCCCGCATGCGCCCCGCACACCCAGTACAGCGCTTCGTGGCCCCATAGGGAGCTCCATCGAAGGTCCCAATGGGACCGCCCGCATGCGCCCCGCACACCCAGTACGGCGCTTCGTGGCCCCATAGGGAGGTCCACCGACGGCCCCACTGGGACCGTCCGCGTGCGTCGCCCCCACCCAATACAACGCTTCGTGGCCCCATAGGGAGCCCCACCGAAGGTCCAGTGGAACCACCCTCATGCGTCCCGCACACCCCAGCGTTTCGTGGCCCTATAGAGAGCTCCACCGACGGCCCCAGCGCCACCGCCCGCATGCGTCACGCACCGCCCAGTACGGCGTTTCGTGGCCCCATGCGGAGCCCCACCGATCTGTGGCCCCATCGAGAGCTCCACCGAAGGCCCCACTGGCAAAGTCCTCATGCGTTTCCCCCACCCAGCACAACGTTTAGGGAGCTCCACCGAAGGCCCCAGTGGCAAAGTCCGAAAGCGTCTCCCCCACCCAGCACAACGTTTCGCGTTCCATACACCGAAGGCCCTAATGGCAAAGTCCGCATGCGTCTCCCCCACCCAGCATAACGTTTCGTGCCCCATGGGGAGCTTCACCGAAGGGCCCAGTGGCAAAGTCCGCATGCGTCTCTCCCACCCAGCACAACGTTTCGTGGCCCATAAAGAGCTCCACCGGAGGCCCCAGTGGCAAAGTCCGCATGCGTCTCCCCCACCCAGTGCCTCCACTGAAGGGCCCAGTGGCAAACTTCGCATGCGTCTCCCCCACTCAGTGCAGCGCTTCGTGGCCCGATAGGGAGCTCCACCGAACACGCGGTATTCGCAACTTTTGTTCCCTGACATCCGGCGTAACGAACAAAATGCAACATCGTGATAGTCCGCGCCTGGAGCCCCGGACCTCATCTGTCTGCGTCATTCTTCGAGCCGGATCGATCCGTGAGGGCCCCGGGACCCGAAAACGCCGGCGAAAGCGCCCGGCCCGAAAACACTGAGTCGCCAATATCTCAGGTCTGGAGCGTCGGATCTCTGGGGGCGGGCCCCAGAGGTCGGGGCCACTTCCCCGGGCCGGGCTTTTCGTCCTGAGTCGTTTTTCGAAGGCCCCGAGCCCCAGCGAGGGCCCTCGGAGCCTGAGAATAGCCCAAATTAGGGGACCACATGCGAACCCTACCCCTATATATATATATATATATATATATATATAATATATATTATATATATATAATATATATATATATACCCCACGATTTCTGGGGCCGGGTGGGGTTGACTTCGCTCGGGAGGTCCCGAACGAAGTGAACCCCACCCTCCCCCTCAGACAACGTGGGGGGTAGGGGTAGGGTTCGCATGTGGTTATATATAAATCCTGCCGCCCCCATTTGTATTGGAGCGTCGGATCTCCGCGGGGGGCCTGGACATGGGCACCAACACCAACACGCGGGGGGGGGCCTCCACAGCAGGGGGGAGATGGTCCTAGATTTCGGCAACGGGGGGGGCCTCCACAGCAGGGGGAAGATGCTCCTGGATCTCGGCGTTGGCGGTCATATTTCGGCCACCTTGGAAGCCAGTGTGTTACCACCATCACCGAGATCGGGATCCTCTTCCCCCGGTGGAGGCACACCGCCGATAGTGGTGCTGGTGCCAACCTCTATAACCAGAGATCCGACGGCGTGATTTTTCCAATACGGTGTCCAGGGAAGTCCCGACCCTTTCCCCAGGGCCGGCTTCTCATCCCGAGCTGTTTTTTGACGGTCCCGAGGCCCGGCGAGGGCCTCTGGAGGCCGAACCTGGCCCAAAACCTCCGCCCTGCTTTCTTCCATGCGTTGGACCTCCTGAGATCCGACGTAGCGAAAAAATTGCAACATCGTGAAAATCCGCGCCCGGAGCCCCGGACCCCATCTTTCTGCGTCATTTGTCGAGCCAGATCGATTTGCGAGGGTGCCAGGACCCGAAAAAGGGCGAAGACGCCCGGCTCGACAAAATCGAGTCGCCAGGATCTCAGGGGATCTCTGGGTAATTAGGCCTGCGAGGATCTCTGGGAGCCCAGACCCCCGACGTCGTGAATTTTTCATGACGTCGACCCCCAGAGGTCCAGACCCTTTCCCCAGGACCGGTTTTTCATCCCGAGTGGTTTTTTGACGCTCCCGAGGCCCGGCGAGGGCCCCCGGAGGCCAAGAATGGTGAAAAACCTCCCGTCGTGATTTTTTCACGACGCCAGGAGGTCTGGGTCTGGGTCGGCCTGCGAGGATCTCAGGGGGCGAGGCACGTCGGGGGCCCGCCTCGCCCGCGGCGCCGGCGCTGCCGGGCGGCCCCGCCGCGGCGGCGGGCGCCGGGCCGCCGCTGGGCGGCCCGGGGCCTCCGGGCGGGGCAGCGCTCCCCTGCGGCGGCAGCGCGCAGGAGGGCCCCCCCCCTCTGCAGGCCAGGAGGGCCTCCCCAGAGATCCTCCTCCTCCTCCTCCTCCTCCTCCTCCTCCTCCTCCACCTCCTCCTCCTCCTCCTCCTCCTCCTCCTCCTCCCCCTCCCTGGCCAAGAGGGCCTCCCCATGGGAGATCCAGCGCATTGGAAAACCGTGGAGTGCTGTCCGGTGCTGGTGCAAGTGTACTGTCCTGTCCGGGGGGCAAGCGTTCCCCAGAGATCCAACGAATTGAAAAATCAAGACGGAGGCTTTTGGCCATTCTCGGCCTCTAGGGGCCATCGCCGGGCCTCGGGACCGTCAAAAAACGACTCGGGATGAAAAACCGGCCCTGGGGAAAGGGTCGGGCCTTCCCTGGACCCCGTATTGAAAAAAATCACGACGTCGGATCTCTGGGTCCCAGGCATGCGACGTCCTGTTTTTTTTCAGGACGGCGCCCCCGGAAGCCCAGACCCGCCGGCTTTCAACCCGAGTCGTCGTTTTTGTTGACGCTCCCGGCGAGCGCCTCAGGAGGCCGAGATCGGCGCAAAACCTCCGCCCTGATATTTTTTACGACGCCCCAGAGATCCAGCGTATTGACAAATTCAAGACGGAGGTTTCTGGGCATGTTCGGCCTCTAGAGGCCCTCGCCGGGCCTCGGGACGGTCAAAAAACGACTCGGGATGAGAAGCCGGCCCTGGGGCCTTCCCTGGACCCCGTATTGGAAAAATCACGACGTCGGATCTCTGGGTCCGAGGATCTGATTTTTCAATCGGGCGTTTTTTCCTGGATTTCGGCCTCTGGGGCCCATTATCGGGCCCGGGGACCATCAAACATGGATCCAGGACGGAGAACCACCCCCCAGGGACGGGGTCGGGACCTCTGGGGCCGCGGATTGCACAAATCATATCGGCGGATGTCTGGGCCTGAGATCCCGGCGACTCCACTTTTTCGAGCCGGGCGTTTCCGCCTGTCTTCGTGTCCCGGGGCCCTCACAGATCGATCCGGCTCGAAAAACAATGCAAAAGGATAGGGTCCAGTGCTCCAGGCGCGGAGTTTCACGATGTTGCAATTTTTTCGCTACGCCGGACCTCAGGGAAGAGGGCCTCTGGTGCGCGGCTCCGAGCCCAGACCCCCTCGCCCAGTGAAGAAATTACGACCCCAGACACGATCGCGTCGTAAAAAAAAACAGGACGGCAAGCCTTTCGCTCTTTTCGGCCTTTGGGGGCCCTCGGCGGGCCCCAGGAGTGGCAAAAAACGACTCGGGATGAAAAACCGACCCCAGGGAAACTGTCTGGACTTCCGGGGGCGCCGCACTGAAAAAATCTGGACGTCGCGTGTCTGGGACGGAAGGCTTTTCCTTCTTTTCGGCCTCTGGGGGCCCCTATACCGGGCCTCGGGGCCGTCCAAAAACGGCTCGGGATGACAAGCCAGTCATGGGGATTGGGCCGACCTGCTCCCCATGGGGGAAGTTCGGCCCTCGCGGGCCGTTTTCAGGCCCTCACGAGGCCGTCAAAAACGGCCCCGGGGCCTAACCCTGCCCCAACAGAAGGGGTCCCTGCGGCCGCGGATCCAACAGGAGGCTCGCACCAGAGGCCTGCCCCGCGAGGGGCCACTCTTGCACGCGCATGCTTCGCTTCGCTTCGCTCGCGGCTCGATGTCTAATAGACGAAGCCGTTCGCGCGGCCGCGGCCGCGCGCGCGCGCCCGAGGCACGCAGTGGGGGCCACCCCCCCCGACACGGGCCCCCGCCAGGAGGGCAAGGGTGAGAAGCCGCCTAGGCCTCGCAGGGGGAGGGGCGGGGGCCGAAAGGGGCCCAAGGCCCCTCTCCCCGCACGCGCATGCTCGACCTCCTCGCTCGGGGCGCCCGGCGGCGCGCCGGCGCCCGGCCCGCCCGGCCACGCCGGGAAGAGCAGCGGGCAGGAGTCGGAGTAGGCCTGCGTCGGCGGGACGTCGTCCGCCAGGTCCTGCGGCGGGTTATCTCTCGGGAGCGGCCAAGAGGGGGGTGTCCAAGAGGGGGGGGGGCCAATCATGACCAGCGGCACGTGCGCGGCCCAGCGGGGGGACCAGGGACGCAGTGAAATAAGAAGAGGCGCCATGACATCGGGGGACACATCATATATGGCCCCCGCCATGATATCCACCCCTCCCCTAGTCATCACCCCCCCCTTTCCCAGACATGCGACGTCCTGATTTTTTCAGGACGGCGTCCCCGGAAGCCCAGACCCTTTCCCCGGGGCCGGTTTTTCATCCTGAGTCGCTTCCTTGACGGTCCCAGGGCCCGGCGAGGGCCCTCTGGAGGCCCAAGATAGCGAAAGACCTCCGCCCTGAATGGGAAGCACAAAGACATACTAGTACTATATGTCCTCCTTGGAGGCGCGCGTCCGACCCGAACATATAGTATACCCATCTTGTAGTATATCGTTTCCCGAGCGGTGTGGCCAGAAAGCGCCCCCCCACGACGCATATACTATAAGATTTCTCGGTGCGCGCGTCGCCTCCGGGGGGGCGAAGCACATATAGTATAAGTATGTTAGGGTGATGCCGACTGAATCTTTTACGACGCGATCATGTCTGGGTTGCCGCCCCCGATGATCCTCCAGTGCCCCGCGCTCGATCAGCACGCGCTTCTCCTCGGGAGCGGTCCTGCGGAGCCGCTTCGCGCCGGCGCCCGGTCCGCGCGGCCACGCCGGGAGGGCGTCCTCCGCCGAGGCCTGCGCCGCGTCCTCGCCCAGCACGCGCTTCTCCTCCGGGGCGAGGCGAGGCGCGCCCGAGTCCGCCGGGGAGGCGGGGCCTGGAAGGCCGGCGCGGGCGGGCCGGGGCCCTCCCCAGAGATCCGACGTCGTGATGTTTTCCATGCGGGGTCCAGGGAAGGCCCGACCCTTTCCCCAGGGCCGGTGTTTCACCCCGAGTCGTTTTGTTGACGGTCCCGAGGCCCGGCGAGGGCCTCTCTAGAGGCCGAACATGGCCAAAAACCTCCGTCTTGAATTTGTCAATGCGCTGGATCTCTGGGTACGCCGGGGAGGCGGGGCCTGGAAGGCCGGCGCGGGCGGGCTGGGGCCCTCAGTTGCAGATGAGGAACTTGTGGTCCGTGCTGTGTGTGTGTGAGTCTGTGTGTGTCTGTGTGTGTGTGTGTGTCTGTGTGTGTGTGTCTGTGTGTGTGTGTCTGTGTGTGTGTGTCTGTGTGTGTGTGTCTGTGTGTGTCTGTGTGTGTGTGTCTGTGTGTGTCTGTGTGTGTGTCTGTGTGTGTATGTGTCTGTGTGTGTCTGTGTGTGTCTGTGTGTGTCTGTGTGTGTGTCTGTGTGTGTGTGTCTGTGTGTGTCTGTGTGTGTGTGTGTCTGTGTGTCTGTGTGTGTGTGTGTGTGTCTGTGTGTGTGTGTGCCTGTGTGTGTGTGTCTGTGTGTGTGTGTCTGTGTGTGTGTCTGTGTGTGTGTGTCTGTGTGTCTGTGTGTCTGTGTGTCTGTGTGTCTGTGTGTCTGTGTGTGTGTCTGTGTGTCTGTGTGTGTGTGTGGCGCAGGAGCGCTTGTTCCAAACTGCTCCATGGAAGGCTGTCCAGTGCTGGTGCAAGTGTGCTGGCTTGTCCGGGGGGGCAAGCGTTCCCCAAAGATCCAACGAATTGAAAAAAAACGAAGGCTTTTGGCCATTCTCGGCCTCTAGGGGCCCTCGCCGGGCCAAGCCGGCCCTGGGGAAAGGGTCGGGACTTCCAGGGACCCCGCATTGAAAAAATCACGACGTCGGATCTCTGGGTCCCAGGCATGCGACATCCTGTTTTTTTCAGGACGGCGCCCCCGGAAGTCCAGATCACCCTCTCCCCGGGGCCGGCTTTCAACCCGAGTCGTCGTTTTTGTTGACGCTCCCGGCGAGCGCCGCAGGAGGCCAAGATCGGGGCAAAACCTCCGCCCTGATATTTTTTACGACGCCCCAGAGATCCAGCGTATTGACAAATTCAAGACGGAGGTTTCTGGGCATGTTCGGCCTCTAGAGGCCCTCGCCGGGCCTCGGGACCGTCAAAAAACGACTCGGGATGGAAAGCCGGCCCTGGGGAAAGGGTCGGGCCTTCCCTGGATCCCGCATGGAAAAAAATCACGACGTCGGATCTCTGGGTCCCAGGCATGCGACGTCCTGTTTTTTTCAGGACGGCGCCCCCGGAAGTCCAGACCCTCTCCCCGGGGCCGGCTTTCATCCCGCGTCGTCGTTTCTGTCGACGCTCCCGGCGAGGGCTTCAGGAGGCCGAGATCGGCGCAAAACCTACGCCCAGATTTTTGTTTGCGACGCGCTCGTGTCTGGGTCAGGAGGGTGCCGGCTCAGAGGGGGAAGCCTGGAGCCCGAGTCGGCGGTGCGTCGCGGATGGGCAGGCGACGGGGCCTCTCCCCGGGGCGCGCAGGCACGGATTGGCGATCCAGGGATTCCTCTCGCTTCGCGGGGCAACTCAAAGCGTGAATTACCTACCCCGCTTTCGCTTCCAAGCAAAACCAAGCCATACCACGCGCCTCCTCGTCAAGCGGCCTGACCAGTACAGGCTGCAATTTGGCATCGTTTGGTATCTCTTGGAAGCGAGGGTGGTCAAAAGCGAGGTAGGTTTGTTTTCCCCCGAGTAACACAATGCAATATGTGGCAATTATGCAAACATTGGATACATTGGATACGTTGCATTAAGGCGTTCGCCGAAAAACGCTGCCGCTCAGCACGTCACCTCCGGACGTGGATTTGGCGTGCCGTCGCCAAACCCATGGATCGGGGGAGGTGCCCCCCCAAAATGCGCCCGGTGCCGCCTCGCTCGGTGGCGACAGCCCGCGATTTCCGATGGAAACGGGACCCGTCGCTAATCCATGCCCCCTCGATCCATGCTTGCGATCGCCTGGCTCTCGGCGATCAGTGGGCGAGCATGTCCTCCTACAGGCGGCTGCTGGAAGAAAAAAACACATAGGCGAAACATAGGCAACAATTGTCAGAAGAGCACAGGAAATCGCACCCGGACCATTTTTTGACCACTCTTGGACGTTCCTCCTGTAGAGGGGCATGCCCGACTTAACCCCTTATCCCCTCCCAGCGACGCACCCGATCCTCGGGGTGCGCCTGCTGCAGGTGCTCCGCGCTCGCGCCCGCGCCGCCCGCCCCTGGCGGGAAGAGCAGCTGGCAGGAGTCCGAGTAGACCTGGGTCTGCGGGAAGTCGTCCAGCGCGGCGTCGCGGGCAGGAGCGCCAGGAAGCCGCCACGGCTCTTCGGCCGCGGCCCGCCTGGTGCTGGTCCCGCTGGCGCCTGCGCTGCCGGTGCTGGGCGGCGGGAAGAGCAGCGGGCAGGAGTCCGAGTAGGCCTGCGTCAGCGGGACGTCGTCGGCCTCCTGCGGCGGGGTGTCCTCTGGCGCCCCGCGCTCGATCAGCACGTGCTTCTCCTCCGGAGCGGTCCTGCGGAGCCGCTTCGCGCCGGCGCTCGCGTGGCTCGGCTCCAGCGGGAAGACCAGCGGGCAGGAGTCCGAGTAGGCCTGCGTCAGCGGGACGTCGGCGTCGGCCGCCAGGTCCTGCGGCGGAGCGCCCTCCGGCGCCGCGCGCTCGATCGGCACGCGCTTCTCCTCGGGAGCGGTCCTGCGGAGTGGCCTCGCGCCGGCGCTCTCGCCGGTGCTCGCGCTCGAGCTGCGCGGCTCCAGCGGGAAGACCAGCGTGCAGGAGTCGGAGTAGGCCTGCGTCTGCGGGACGTCGTCCGCCAGGTCCTGCGGCGGGGTGTCCTCCCGTGCCGCGCGCTCGATCAGCACGCGCTTCTCCTCGGGAGCGGTCCTGCGGAGCCGCTTCGCGCCGGCGCTCGCGTGGCTCGGCTCCAGCGGGAAGACCAGCGGGCAGGAGTCGGAGTAGGCCTGTGGGGGCCGCCCACATGGCGTCGGAGGATCGTGCCGCGTCGCCGACGCATCGGCGTGGCATCGGCGAAGTCGGGACGGAGAAGATGGGGCTCCGAATTGGGGCCTCATCGCCGATGCGTCCGTGGTGTGGGGCGCGACCAACCGACCTCGTCGCCAGACATCCGACGCTGCGACTGCTGTCACCGACCCCTTCCCTGTGGGGTCTGCTCTCATCCCCCAGATCCATGGGAACAGTCCTGGGGCCTCGCATGCAGAAGAGGAGGGAAGAGGAGGGAGGAGGGAGGAGGAGGAGGAGGAGGAGGGGAGGAGGGAGGGAGGGGAGGGAAGGAGGGAGGGAGGGAGGGGGGAGGAAGGGCGGCAATCGAAGAAGAGGGAACGCCACAAACATAAAACTTTTGGCGCTCCGCGCGGATTTCTTGGATCTGCGCTGGGCCCCCCCTCCCTGGCGCGCGGAGCGCGCCACGGGCGGCGCCGGAGGCGGCGCTGGGGGGGGGGGGGGGGGGGCAGGGCAGGTCCAAGACATCCGCGCGGAGCGCCAGAAGTTTTCTGTTTGTGGCGTTCTCTCTTCTTCGATTCCTCCCTCCTCTCCCCCCTCCCTCCCCCCTCCCTCCTCCTCCTCCTCCTCCCTCCTCCTCCCTCCTCTTCCCTCCTCTTCTTTTTCTTCTTCTTCTTCTTCTTCTCCTTCTTCTTCTTCTTCTTCTTCTTCTTCTTTTCTTATTCTTCGATGACAGCGGCCCCTAGATGCCGACACCAAGGGAGAACTGCGGGAGGGACAAACCCAGACACGCGACGTCCTGGTATATTTTCAATGCGGCGTCCCCCCGGAAGTCCAGACCCTTCCCCAGGACCAGCTGCTCATCCCGAGTCGTTGCTCGACGGTCCCGGGGCCTGGCGAGGGCCTCCAGAGGCCGAAATCGGCGAAAAACCTCCGTCCTGATTTTCTTACAGTCGGGGCGTTGACCCAAGGAACCCTAAATTTGGAACGAGGCCCCTTTTCGTCCCCATGAGTTAAACTTTGATTTCCCATCGAAACACCAAGGGAAACCAAAGGCGAACTGCAAAACAACTAAGGAACACCGAGCCCCTCCACAACGAAAAGGGTTCCTTCCTCAGCGCCCCGACTGTACGACGCGAGCATGTCTGGGGGGAAAACCTCCGTCCTCCTCCTCCTCCTCCTCCTCCTCCTCCTCCCCCTCCTCCTCCTCCTACGACGCGAGCGTGTCTGGGGGGAACACTGCGGGTTGGGCAGGCATCAAATCGTCGGAGCCCTGGGCTCCCTTCGACACCGTGCGGGCGGTCCGCTGCCTGGGTCTGCGGCAGGTCCTCCGGCGAGGCCCCCAGCGGCGGAAGCCGCAGGAGTGACTCGGGGTAGGCCTGCAGGAGGAGGAGGAGGAGGAGGAGGAGGAGGAGGAGGAGGAGGAGGGAGGAGGAGGAGGGAGGAGGAGGAGGAGGAGGAGGAGGAGGAGGAGAGGAGGAGGAGGAGGAGGAGGAGAGGAGGGAGAGGAGGAGGAGGAGGAGGAGGAGGAGGAGAAGGAGGAGGAGGAGGAGGAGAAGGGGCAAGGCCTGCGTCATCGGCAGGTCGTCCACCGAGGCCTCCTCGGCGGCCTGGCCCGCGGGCTCCGGGCGCCAGTCTTGCTCCCGCGCGGATCGCGCGGCGCCTGAGGGAGCAAGGCGGCCGCGAAGCCACCACCGTCGTCGTCGTCGTCGTCGTCGTCGTCGTCGTCGTCGTCGTCGTCGTCGTCGTCGCCAGCCTCGTCGCCGTCGTCGTCGTCGTCGCCAGCCTCGTCGCCGTCGTCGTCGTCCTCGTCGCCGTCGTCCTCGTCGCCGTCGGCCTCGTCGCCGTCGCCGTCGCCGTCGCCGTCGTAGCCACCGCCGTCGCAGTTGTCATCGTCGTCGTCCTCGTCGTCGTCGTCGTAGCCGCCGCCGCCGCCGCCGCCGTCGTCGTGGTGGTCGTCGTCGTCGTGGTGGTCGTCGTCGTCGTCGTGGTCGTCGTGGTCGTCGTCGTGGTCGTCGTCGTCGTCGTCGTCGTCGTCGTCGTCGTCGTCGTCCGCCGTGGGCCGCGCCTGCGCGAGCGGCCGCCGAGCCGGCGCCTGCGCCAGCGCTGGCCGCCGAGGGGAGCTCGCCGTACGCCTGCCCGTCGTCGTCGTCGTCGTCGGCCTCGTCGTCGTCGTCGTCGTCGCCGTCGTCGTCGTCGTCGCCGTCGTCGTCGTCATCGCCGTCGGCCTCGTCGCCGTCGCCGTCGCCGTCGCCGTCGCCGTCGTGGTCGTGGTCGTCGTCGTCGTCGTCGTGGTCGAAGCCGGGGCCGTGGCTCTGTCACACGGCGTGGACCAGACAAGCGGCCGTCGATCGAAGAGAGAACACAACGCAACGACGACAGGCGAGGATCGGCGGTGGACACACCTCCCTCTAGTAAGCCACCCTTTCGTGAAAACGGCCTGGGACCGAAAGCGAGAATGACGGCCGCGACGCCCTCTCGCGAACCGAAAACGGCCAATTCGCCAACCAACGCGTCAGGGTAGGAGGTCTGTCCACCCCCGAGAGGAAGCAGAGCAAAATTTGAGCTTGTCCACTGAACCCTCCTCTCGGCCCTGAGACGCCCTCGCCAGAGAGGCCCCCCTTCGCGTCGAGACAATCGGCCTCGCGAAGGGCCCAACCATGTGTATCTACGAATCACGCAGGGTATGAACAACTCCTCGTAGGTATCGCGCCGCGGGAAGGCACTTTTGGTAGGTGGACCTCTCAAGCTCTCCGCCGCGTCTGGCGGTGTGCGTTGCGAGCAGGAGGCAGCAAAGCCACAGGAAAGCGCGGCATTGACAGTGTAGCTCCGCACACGTGACAAATGTTAACGAGCAGGGGGCATGCGGATGAGGGCCACGAAGCGCGTGAGGGGTGCCGAAATTGCCTGGGGGACGCATGCGCTGCCACGGGAGCCTTCGGAGGAGCTCCCTGTGGGGCCACGAAACGTGCGAGGGGTGTGCCGAAATTGGCTATGGCACACATGCGAGCGCTGCCACAGGAGCCTTCGGCGGAGCTCCCTGTGAAACCACGAAGCGTGTGAGGAGCGTGCCGGCATGGGCGGGGTGACGCATGCGAGCGCAGCCTCTGGGGCCTTCGGTGGAGCGCCCACTGAGGCCACAAAACGTGTGAGTGCATGTCGAAACGAGCATGCAGAGCAGAGGCACTATGCTGCTGCGGCTGATGATGATGCTGCTGCTAATGATGATGACGATGCTACTGATGCTGCTGATGCTAATGATGATGATGCTATTGATTATAATGCTGATGATGATGCCGATGCTGATGCTGCTGCTGCTGACGATAATGACGATGACGATTATGGTGATGGTGATGATGATGATGATGATGATGATGATGATGATGATGACGACGATGACGATGACGATGACGATGACGATGACGATGACGATGACGATGATGATGATGATGCTGATGATGATGCTGCTGCTGCTGATGATGATGACGATTACGATGACGAGGAGGAGAGGGAGGGAGGGAGGGAGGGAGGGAGGGAATGAGGAATGAGGGAGGTAGGATGAGGGAGGGAGGGAGGGAGGGAGGGAGGGAGGAGGGAAAGGAAGGAGGAGAGGAGGAAGGAGGAGGAGGAGGAGGAGAGGAGGAGGAGGAGGAGGAAGGGGAGCAAGAGCGCGACGGGCTGTTTCCCGCGGGGCCGCGGGCCCTCACCGGGCCCCCGGGGCTGTCAAGACTGTGACTCGGGATGAAGATCTGGTCACCGAGAAGGGTCCAGATCTCTTGGGGTCCACGTCATGAAAACTCAGACGGGGCCTGGGGAGGCGAGGAGAAGGAGGAGGAGAAGGAGGAGGAGGAGCAGGAGGAGGGGGAGGAGAGGAAGGAGGAGGGAGGAGCAGAAGGAGGCGAGCGCAAAACGAAGTGAACTTCACGTGGATTTGTTTTGGTCTTCACTCCTGGCCAAGCAAGCACCCGCGCGAGACTCGCTCCGAGATCCGGAGCGGCATTCTCCAAGACACTCTGGGCCCATCCTGTGGCTTTCCGAACGGATTCCGCTCTGCGATGTTGGCGCCATGGCTCTTGGGGTCCACGTCATGATACTTCATGGGGGGGGCCTGGGGAGGCAGCCCAACTCCACGCCCCGCGCCCCGCGATGCGCGACCTCGCGGCTGCCTTCGCGCCCTCGAGGCGCCACTCTCGAGAGGAGGGCGACGGCCCATGCCCAGCCCGCGACGCACGACGCGCGATTCTCTTCGCGCCCGCGCGGGTGACCTACACTCTTAGAGGAAAAAGAACTATGCACATACACCGATTCTGGCCAGGCCCATCCTGAGCCCAGGATCGGTGCATACGCCCTCCTACCTTGGCCAGGAAGGCATATGCACCGATCCTCGGTCAAGGATGGGCCTTGCCAGGATCGGTGCATGTGACATGGTGCATAGTTCTCTTCGCCCGAACTCCACCATCCCGAGTCGTTCTCTGGCTGTCTGGGGGCCCCTCAAGGGCGGACAGCGGCGACAAGCTTCCCGCCGTGGCTCTTCGCCGCATCGCCGGACGAGAGCGCCGCGCGCCCGGGTCTGGGCGCGGGGGAGGCTCGTCGTCCAGCCACAACTGGAGCTTCAGGGTTGTACGATTTACGATCTCGGCGAGGAGGAGGAGGAGGAGGAGGAGGAGGAGGAGGAGGAGGAGGAGGGGGAGCCCCCACAGCGCTCTCGGCGATGCGCAGCTGCTGGAAAGCATCCCAAGGGCGAGACGCACCTCCAGGAGCCAGGCGGAGACCCAAGGCAACCTCGCGCCCGGACGTCCGACGGCTGGGAGGAGGGGGAGGAGGAGGAGGAGGAGGAGGAGGAGGAGGAGGAGGAGGAGGAGGAGGAGGAGGAGGATGGAGGAGGAGGAGGAGGAGGCGGAGGGAGGAGAGGAGGAGGGGGGGGGGAGGAGGGAGGAGGGAGGAGGAGAACATAAAAAACCGGGAAACAAACATGATTTCTCCTTCTCCTCCTCCTGCTCCTCCTCCTCCTCCTCCTTCTCCGCCTCCGCCTCCGCCTCCTCCTCCTCCTCCTCCTCCTCCTCCTCCTCCCTGGCGCCCATGGAAAAATATGGTTTCTCGGAGGTCCGTGCGGACTGCGCGGATCGGCGGTGCATCTCCTTCCCTGGTGCGCCAGGCAGGCCCAGCGCCGGTCCAAACAACATCCGCGCGGACCTGCAGGATTTTGTTTTATTTGCTGTATCTGTTTTGTTTCTCTCGCGGGGCCTCCACGTCACTCACATCTCACACGTCAGATAGCATGGCGAAGCTTACGTCAGATTGTGTAAGGTTATTCGCATTCGCGAGACAATGCCGGAACGCTCAGGAGGGGGGACGAGGAGGAGGGAGAATGGGCAGCGTGCTTGCCAACAACGGCTGGCACCAGCGATCGTGCCGGGCAAATTGTATCAAAAGGACCTGCAAGAAATTATGTTTATTTATGCCGTGCTTTGTTATTCGATGGAGGCCACCCCGAGGCGAAAAAAACTCCAAGCGCCGACGAACTCTTCCAAAAACCTCCAAGGACCAATGAGTCGAGCAGACCTGGGATCCTCCAGAGACCCTGCTCATCGCTCCCTCCAGGAAGCGAGAACCTCCCCGAGGGCCTGCTGATGTCCTCCTCGCTACCTCCTCCTGCTGATGTCCTCCTGCTGACGTCCTCCCAAGCCGGCGACAATCGGGGAAACCGAAGGGTACCGATACCGCTACTCCCAGGACCTCTCGCGGGGTGCGTTCTGACCAGAACTCCACAGCGAATCCAGCGGTGGCGACGAGGGCCTTCCCAGAGGCCCGCGAGGGCGAAAACGAGGGGGAGGGAGGCGGCAGCGATACAGTCGGACCTAGGACAGAAGAACTGAAGGGGCCCCAGGACACACAAATAAGTACACACAAATAGAAATAGTTCCCATATTTTCCCATATGTTCCCTGATTTTGTCTTCCCCCCACTTCCCATATTTTCCCATATTTTCTGGGGAATCGAGGATTAAGTGTGTCTGTGTGTTTCTGTTCCTCCTGAAGAACATCTTTCAGGAACATGGGGCTCTCCGTCGGCCAAAACACACAGAGAATCCCAGGGTACCCTCCCCAAAATGCACAAGAA